ATAAACAATCCTAAAACACGACAAAGGGGACTACTTTTGACATTAAATTTTCTATTCTAAACTCAACCCCTAAAGCGGGGGAGCAACCCCTTCAAGAATCTTAAATAGCATAAGGGGTCGAGTAACACATCGTTGGAAAGCGCATTCAATTCTCAATTCAACGGTGTGCTTTTTTTTTAATTTTTGTTAATTGACAGCAGAGAAATTTTAAACATTTAAAGAAAGCAAAATAAAAAAGGTTCAACAAAAAATACCTTAGCAAATAAGCTGCTCAAAATGGCCTCCACCGACCTCCATACAGTAGTAGAGCCAGGGCCGTCTTAAGATATTCAGCGCCTGTGGGCTACTAAAAATAATGCGCTCTTCTTTATAGGAGTTAGTGGGAAGGGTTATCAAGTTATACAAAAGTATCAGAACTATGAAAAGTTCATTTAATTTAGTAAACTATTTTCTGTTTCATTTAGAACAGGTTATTCTGTGCTGGTGGTAACAAAAATCCGAGTCGAAGACGAGGATTTTTGCACCTGCACGAATGCATTTTGTTAAAAAATATTACTTAGCATTTTGCTTTTTCGAAAATTAGATGCCCGAATGGTATTTGACAAAACTATTTCATGAGTAACAATTATTCTGCATACACATAGCTTACAAAACATACTACCTATTATACATGCATACATAATAAATATGTAGGTATTAATTTGAAAACTGAAAAATAGGTAATTTATTTAATCACAAAATACTACAAACTTAATTATTTATGGTACAATTAAAATATAAATTACAATTTTTTGTGACAACAGCTGTCAAGTTTTGACGAGGGTAAACTCGAAAAAACTGCTGACAGGTGCTGTCATAGAGTTTTTTCACCTAGAAACCATTTGTAATTCAAAATTGCGCTATTGATTGGTGGAAATTAAGACGCACGTTAAACGCCACGGCGTTATTGGTGATTTTGTTTATTGGGCCAAGTTGTTATTTTACTTGTATCATTTTAAAAAATAAAATCGTCAAAATACAGATTAAAAAATAAATAATTAAAAAACTCTTGTATCTTCGTCAGCCGTCAGGGCCATGCGGTCCTATGCATGCTTTAAAATACCTTATACGAGCGGTCCGCTGGCCAGAAAATCATGTTAAACTGTTAAACAAAAAAATGACAGGCGGTCCGCAGGGACCGCCGTGGCCTGGATGGAAGAAGTATTAGCGGTCCCCTGGGACCGACGTGGCCGTTAACGTGTTAAGACGAGGCAAATAGTCACCTAAATATTAGTTTTATCGCTGCAAAACTGAAAAAACCACTCGTTTTCTGAAATCTGATTGGTCCATAAAGTATTCAGTGGAATAGTCTAGATTATTGTCCTCCTTAACTACCGTTTGCGTAATATGAAACTCTTCAATCTTTAAATCGTAATCTTCTTGTTCCGTTTCTTCTTTAATTACAACAGGAACTTTGACGATTTCCTCAATAATCGTTTTTTCTTCTTCGGAATTGTTTAATAATTTTTCGGATGTTTCTACAAAGGAGACGCTAGTGTTGGGCGCCTCCTTACTTTTGGTGGTGATCATGGTTGGCATGGTGAGACTCTTAGCGATGGTCTGCACGTTGCCCATCGTGTTCATGATGTACAGTGGCTAGGGATGTAAGCAAATTTTTATGACAATGTCATGTCACGGTCATAATGAAAATGACTGTCATGTCCTTTATTTTTATGACACCCTTGTAATTAATTTTTTACAATTGAAATTTCTGACTGTCAAAAAAATAACTGACCGTCATTAAAATATATGACAGTCACAAAAATATATGACGGTCACAAAAATATCAGCTGACTTTCCATTCCACCCGCCTGGCGCGTGACTGGCTTGCGATCCACCGACGCGAACACAAAAAAACGTTAGATCGATGCCGCCCCAAGCCAAGAGATGGAAGCTGCACTTTTTAAGTCATTAGATGACTTTGATGTCGATGACAATAAATCTGACAAAAAAAATTGATTATAACTGGTTTTAAACCAGTTAGATATCTTTATTTTCTACTAAGATTTTTATTTAATTTTTTGATTTTGTTTTTTTTCAAATACATTTATGTTTAAGTTTATGTCTATTAATGTTTTAGTCAGTTGCCACTTGACTGATGCTTCTATATCTATAGATAAACATTAAAGATAAGGAAATAAAAATGACAATAAATGACAAAAATAACAAATAAATGACATGTCACGTGTCACATATACAAATGACCGTCATTTTACATCCCTAACAAGATGTGGTGGACGTGACGGATTTTCCGACTATTTTATCGACCAGAGGCAGCACCTTCATGTTGCCTTTGGAGGTTAATACTTGCAGCTGAGTTTTTTAACATTTTGAGATATATATTATTTTCCTAACGGTACACTCAACATACAATGTATGGTTTGGTCAAAAAAGTCTGTTTTTGCCAGCCGTAATTATTAATTATTATGAAAAAGTGAAAAAAAACTAGTAGTACTTACCAATTTCTGGTACATGGTGGAAAGTTTTTGAAAATGAATTGAAAATCCATTTTTCCATGTCACAATACCTATAAAGGTATCATTTTCATTAAAAAATATATTTATCCTCCTCATATATAACTAAACTTAATTTTTATAAAAAACATTTTTTAAATTATAAAATAAATAAAAAATCGCATTTATGGATTTTCGAAAATAAATTTCCAAAAATAATAACTATAATCGGTTCAATTACATTTAACATTCGTATTTACAGCCAGTACACAGTAAATTAATTTAATTTTTTATTACTATCGAACCGTTATCAATACCATCGAATTTCGCATCAAACTCTTCAACTTCCATATTGGCACATTCCTTAGTTTTAAATACTAAAAAATATATAATTACACTTACAAAAATATTTAAATAATTTGAATTTTGTTTATAGTGTTTATCCAACTTTTCTCTAAACTGCGCCCAGTTAAAAAGTTGTGAAAAAAATTTGCTGACAAGGTAGAAGCGCAATTTCGCAACCTCTTACTGTTGTTAACCAAAATAACTGTTTTAACAGCTTTGAAAAGTACAGCAACACCCCGGTTAAACGTAAAAATTTTAAATTACTGTTAAAACAGACTTACCAAATGGATCTTTACTAATATCTCCTTCATGAACTACACTCTTAATCTCTAAATCTTCAGTCTCGCCATTGGTGACTTTATCTTTAACAATTTCATCTTTAACAACGTCTTCCGTAACAAATTCAGTTTTATCTAGATTATTTTCCTCCTTAACTACCGTTTGCGTAATATGAAACTCTTCAATCTTTGAATTGTAGTCTTCTTGTTCCGTTTCTTCTTTAATCACAACAGGAACTTTGACGATTTCCTCAATAATCGTTTTTTCTTCTTCGAAATTGTTTAATAATTTTTCTGATGTTTCTACAAAGAAGACGCTAGTGTTGGGCGCCTCCTTACTTTTGGTGGTGATCATGGTTGGCATGGTGAGATTCTTAGCGATGGTCTGCACGTTACCCATCGTGTTCATGATGTACAGTGACGAAAATGTGGTGGACGTGACGGATTTTCCGACTATTTTACCGCCCAGAGGCAGCACCTTGATATTGCCTTTCGAGTTTAATACTTGCAGTTGAGAGAGCGATATCACTTTTTTCTACGTCGAAGAGTTAGTACGCACCGTCACCACTTTGTGTTTTACCGAGTTGGTGGTGTTCGAATTGGTAGTGAAAACTTGGGCCGCGTTAAAAGGAGTGCTAGTCGGGATTTTGAGATTTTTAACATTTTGAGATATACAAGGTGTCCCTAAACTTAGTGGCATAAATATAGGAGCAGATTAAGCAAGTCAAAATAAGACGAAAATCTAAATAAATATTTTTCCTAATTACGTATGTTTAAAAGATACAGGGTGATAAAGTGTTACTTATCGTATCAGTTTTTTAATATAACTTCTACTATGGTAGACTTGGAAAGGTGATATTATGCGAACAGTCACTTACTAGCAAAACACATATTCACACATAATTACAATTGTTGGAGTGAACACAGTGTCGTAGAAACAGGGGTTGCTTAAGCTTATTGTCCCATACAAACTTTGAGGTTAGGTTTTTATATCATTTGAAGCAATTGTTCGATTACTCAGTTCGGCTACTATTAAAAAGGTGTAGGTACCTCTCAAACTTCGATAAAATAAACCGTTTCCGAGATATTCGAGATTACAATAATTGTTATATCGCATTAAAGGACTATGATATGATAACAAATTTTTTAATTGAAAAAACTACAATTTTTTTTAATGTGACGGTCAGGGCAAAAAGTCCCGAGGCTCATGGAATGCCCTTTTTAGTTTTTTCAATTAAAAAATAAAATTTGTTATCATATACCTTTTAATCCTTTTAAATAATGCGATATAACAATTATTGCAATCTCGAATAACTCGGAAACGGTTTGTTTTATCGAAGTTTGAGAGGTACACCTTTTTAATGGAGGACGAACTGTGTAATCGAAAAATTGTATCGAATGTTATAAAACCCTAACCTCAAAGTTTGTATGGGACAATAAGCTTAAAGCAACCCCCGTTTCTACGACACTGTGTTCACTCAAACAATTGTAATTATGTGTGAATATGTGTTTTGGTAGTAGTGACTGATCGCAAAGTTTCAAGACTACCATAGTAGAAGTTATATTAAAAAAACTGATATGATAGGTAACACTTTATCACCCTGTATCTTGGAAACAAAGTAATTAGGAAAAAAAATTTATTTAGGTTTTCGTCTTATTTTGACTTGCTCAATCTTTTTCTAAATTTATGCCAATAAGTTTAGGGACACCTTGTATATTGTTTTCCTAACGGTACACTCAACGTACAATGTATGTTTGGTCAAAAAAGTCTGTTTTTGCCAGCCGTAATTATTAATAATTATTATGAAAAATTAAAAAAAAACTAGTAGTACTTACCAGTTTTTGATACATGGTGGAAAGTTTTTGAAAATGAATTAAAAATCCATTTTTCCTTGTCACAATACCTATTAAGGTATTATTTTCATTAAAGAATATATTTATCCTCTTCATATATAACTATTTACAAATTAATTTTTATAAAAAACATTTTTTAAATTATAAAATAAATAATTTGACAAAAATCAAACACATAAATAAAAAATCGCATTGAGCAAAACTCTAACATTTAGATTCCTTTCAATTACCGCTATTTATGGATTTTCGAAAATAAATTTCCAAAAATAATAACTATAATCGGTTCAATTACATTTAACATTCGTATTTACAGCCAGTACACAGTAAATCAATTTTAATTTACTTTTTTATTACTATCGAACCGTTATCAATACCATCGAATTTCGCATCAAACTCTTCAACTTCCATATTGGCACATTCCTTAGTTTTAAATACTAAAAAAAATATAATTACACTTACAAAAATATTTAAATAATTTGAATTTTATTTATAGTGTTGATTCAACTTTTCTGTAAACTGCGCCCAGTTAAAAAGTTGTGAAAAAAATTTGCTGACAAGGTAGAAGCGCAATTTGCAACCTCTTACTGTTGTTAACCAAAATAACTGTTTTAACAGCTTTGAAAAGGTACAGCAACACCCCGGTTAAACGTAAAAATTTTAAATTACTGGTAAAACAGACTTACCAAATGGATCTTTACTAATATCTCCTTCATTAACTACACTCTTAATCTCTAAATCTTCAGTCTCGCCATTGGTGACTTTATCTTTAACAATTTCATCTTTAACAACGTCTTCCGTAACAAATTCAGTTTTATCTAGATTATTTTCCTCCTTAACTACCGTTTGCGTAATATGAAACTCTTCAATCTTTGAATCGTAATCTTCTTGTTCCGTTTCTTCTTTAATCACAACAGGAACTTTGACGATTTCCTCAATAATCGTTTTTTCTTCTTCGGAATTGTTTAATAATTTTTCTGAAGTTTCTACAAAGGAGACGCTAGTGTTGGGCGCCTCCTTACTTTTGGTGGTGATCATGGTTGGCATGGTGAGACTCTTAGCGATGGTCTGCACGTTGCCCATCGTGTTCATGATGTACAGTGGCGAAGATGTGGTGGACGTGACGGATTTTCCGACTATTTTACCGCCAAGAGGCAGCACCTTGATGTTGCCTTTCGAGTTTAATACTTGCAGCTGAGAGAGCGGTATCACTTTTTTCGACGTCGAAGAGTTAGTACGCACCGTCACCACTTTGTGTTTTACCGAGTTGGTGGTGTTGGAGTTGGCAGTGGAAACTTGCGCCGCGTTAGAAGAAGTGCTGGTCACGATTTTAAACTTTTCGAAGTTCTTGACCGATATGTTCTTCACGAACGGAATACTTAGCGTGCGCTGTAGAATACTGCTCGACGGTATCGTTTGGGCGTTCGACACGACGATCAACTTCTGCCCGCCCGACATGGTTTTGGAGATCGCCTTTTTGGCCGGGCACATCTTCACCGACTTCGGCACCGCCTCGTTGCTCGAACCCGGCATCGGACACGTGATCTGCTTCAGCGTCACGTTGCCCGCCTTCAAGTTGGTCAGGATCTTGTTCCTGGGCGCCTGGTTCTCGTTGGAAACGGTCGCTTGGATTAGTTCGTTTTGCTTGGGGGCGTCCGATTGCTCGCCGGATTCGTCCGATGCCAAGGTGGGCGGTTGCAGGCTGATGTTTTGCAGCACGTTTATCTTCGGATGGCTCGACGACGGGTTCGAGTATTGCTGCTTTATCGAAGGCGCCTGCTGTTGCTGCTGTTCCTGCTGGTCCTTCAATTTGTACTGGTACTGTTCTTTGGATTTGATCTTTGTTCTTTGTCTGAAAACAGAAGATTTCCTTTGTTTTAGTGCACAAATATACCTTAAACGGGATCTTCACATTTTTTTATATATTTTTTGATATTTATTTTTTATAATTCAATAGAATTAATTAAAATATATATAGATATATGGGCGTTTCTCTGTAAACTGGGCAACTTGAAGTAAGAAATTGTCTAGGCAAGTTTTTTTGTTATATTTTTTTGTATTTAATAAATGTTATTCGAGGAATAAATATCGGTCTATTTATTAGTATACGGCAGATGAATCAAAAATATTCCTATTACTTTGGAAAACATTGAGCATTTTCTGAAAAATCTATACAGGGGACTGTTTATAAAATCCGGAGACAAAGTGACTTTTTTAGAATTACAAAATAATAATTATAAAAAATAAATAAGTCACAGTAACAAGAAAACAATATTGGTTGAATAATTAAACAATTAGGTTGATTCCAATAGTTACTGTCTTTAATTAATTTAGTCTGAAGTGACCATTTTGCTTTGGTGACACGTCAGGGGACTGGTTTTTAAGGACTATAAAAACGATTTTGATACATTAAAGTTTATTTTATTGGATTTTGAACGTCGAGCATAGGTAGATTAGGTTATTATCTTTTGAAGTTATCTACGAAATATTTATGATCTGTTATTTTTCTAAACAATATTAGCTTGAGACAATGAGTTGCCCAGTTTACAGAGAAACGCCCATACAAGTTGTTTATTTTGAGCATAAGTAACTTTTCCAAAGTTGAGCACTTTAATTTTCAAAAAAAAACAAGCGAAATGGGCGGACCCCCAGTCAATGTTAAATATGAAAATATTTGTATTATTAAAATTAACCGGGGGCCCCCATTTAGCTTTTTTTTTGTGCCCAATTTTAGTTAGTTAGGCTCTAAAAAAATCTTGGCTAAAAAAATTTTTTTTTACCGTTTTCTGCCCTCATCTGAATTTTATGATTTTTATATTTAGGATAGGTCTGGGGCGGTGGAAGGAATTACCAAAATATTTTTTTTTTCACCAAATAATTTTTTTTATTTCATACACAAGTTTTCTATATACCTACAGGTGTTTTGAGTTTTAAAAACATTCATATTTCGCTCCACCCTACTCTTTGTTGGTTTGGGTGCGCTGATTCAAAAAATGGCAAACATTTTGCTTAATTACACTTTGTTTTCGAGATATTGTAAGAAAACGTTTTTTTTATGCAAACATTGGTGTATATATTTTTGTAATCAACCAAGGATCATTGGTCATGAAGCTGTGTCCTAATTTAACTAAAAAAACTATACAGTCCCTTAAAAAAACTATTTTTAACGAAATAAAATCGCTTTTTGGCAATTTAAAGTTCAAAGTGATGTTACACAAACAATTTTTGTCCGATTTTAATTGAATTTACAAAACTGTATAGCTTTATTTATTTAGGCCTTTTAAATCCGTAAATTTTGGTGTATTAGTTTTTAAACTCAGTTGGTTCCCTTTCAAGATATTTATTTTTTATTTATTATCATTTTAAATATAAATTTGAGTTTGAGTGTCATTTTGGCAATTTTTATTTGATTGGGTTAAAATTTTTACACAATAAAGTAGATAAATGAAGCTACAAAATTGTTCGCGAAACTACACTTTAAACTTTGAAAACTGTCGAATTTTTACTTCGTTAAAATAAGTTTTTTTTAAACTGTTAATTTTTTCTTAGTTAAATTAAAACTCGCATAAACAATGATCCTTGGTATTGGTATTTTATTAAAACAAATATACAAGGTGTCCCTAAACTTAGTGGCATAAATTTAGGAGCAGATTAAGCAAGTCAAAATAAGACGAAAATCTAAATAAATATTTTTCCTAATTACGTATGTTTAAAAGTTACAGGGTGATAAAGTGTTACTTATCATATCAGTTTTTTTAATATAACTTCTACTATGGTAGACTTGGAAAGGTGATATTTTGCAAACAGTCACTTACTACCAAAACACATATTCACACATAATTACAATTGTTTGAGTGAACAAAGTGTCGTAGAAACGGGGGTTGCTTTAAGCTTATTGTCCCATACAAACTTTGAGGTTAGGTTTTTGTAACATTTGATGCAATTTATCGATTAAACAGTTCGGCTACCATTAAAAAGGTGTACCTCTCAAACTTCGATAAAATAAACCGTTTCCGAGATATTTGAGATTACAATAATTGTTGTATCGCATTATTTAAAAGGATTAAAAGGTATATGATAACAAATTTTATTTTTTAATTGAAAAAACTAAAAAGCGCATTCCATGAGCCTCGGGACTTTTTGCCCTGACCGTCACATTAAAAAAAATGTAGTTTTTTCAATTAAATTTTTTTTATCATATAACTTTTAGTCCTTTAATGCGATATAACAATTATTGTAATCTCGAATATCTCGAGAACGGTTAATTTTATCGAAGTTTGAGAGGTACACCTTTTTAATAGTAGCCGAACTGAGTAATCGAAAAATTGCATCAAATGGTATAAAAACCTAACCTCAAAGTTTGTATGGGACAATAAAATTAAGCAACCCCTGTTTCTACGACACTGTGTTCACTCAAACAATTGTAATTATGTGTGAATATGTGTTTTGGTATTAAATGACTGTTCGCAAAATATCACCTTTCCAAGTATACCAGAGTAGAAGTTATATTAAAAAAACTGATATGATAAGTAACACTTTATCACCCTGTATCTTTTAAACATACGTAATTAGGAAAAATATTTATTTAGATTTTCGTCTTATTTTGACTTGCTTAATCTGCTCCTAAATTTCTGCCACTAAGTTTAGGGACACCTTGTATATATATATATATGTATATGTATACATAAATATATATATATACGAATTTGAATGTTTGCATATAAAAAAACGGTTTCTTACAACATCTCGAAAAAAGGCTAATTGAGCAAAATTATGGTTATTTTTTTAATCAGCGCACCCTGTGGCAAAATGGCTGTTGACCAGTGTAATTAAAAATAAAAAGTTTACTAATTGGATAACAATAAAAAATTACTAAATATAAACATATTTGGTATCAAAAGCCAAAATATTACCAATAAATATACGCGTTTTTTTTAACGTCAAATCTGGCTTTAAAAAAGGGGACAAAAACAGGACGCGGACGGGACAAAAACAGTAAAGGAACGGAAATGAATCGGGACAGGAATGGGACGGGATTGGAACACAATATACTTACTATTTTTAATTATTAAATATTTAAATATTTAGCAATAATTTTTTAATTACTAAGTTTTCAAATAGGTATTTGGAATTATTTTTTTTGTAAATACTAAGTTTTTTAATTGTTTTCTCTCATTACTAACTATTTAAAAAATAAACATGAATTGTTTCTGCAATTACTAATTACTCAAATAATTAGCATTTATTTTTTCTAAATACATATTATATTTTAAATTATTTAAAAATATTTTTGATCTAATTATCAAATATTCAAATAATTAGCAATAGGTTTGATTATAATTATTGAATATTTTAATAATTAATAATCATTCTCTAATCTATTACTAGATATCAAAGTAATTAGTAATGAGTTAAAGAAGCTTATACTTAGTACTAAACTAAAAAATAATATTTTTAGGATTATTAAAAAATATTTGTATAAGTAATTTTTTAAAATAAAGACCTAAATATAAAAATAATTAGTAGCAGCTGATTCCATAATTATTAATTGTCTAAAAGCTTAAAACCAACCATAAAAATAATAATTAATTTCGAAATAATTGAAAATATTTGTTTGGCTAATTACAATGATCCAATTAATTAAAAATAATAATTATCAAAAATATTAATATTAAAATAAACACTAATAAATAGCCATATTGCTGGCAAAAAAATCCTTATTGCGGATCTCTGGTTAGCGGTTGTTTTTAATAAAATATTTTAAGAATTAAACATTTAACTTTTTAAAACGAAATTTGCCGCGGTACATCTTAATTCATTAAAAAATGTTATATATGTTTATACTATACCTATATAATTGTTGAATTCTACTGGTCTTAGATGGTCCCAAGAGGTGCTGCGCCAAGCAGCTGCTATTCTCCGAGATAGACAACTTCCTCTTTTTTGCCTCGTCAAACTTCGGAGGCTCAGGAATACGAAACGAAGTTTTACTACTACCTTCAGGCAGAACACTCGAAGTGGCAATGTTAATGGTTCTTTTGCGTTCCGTTGCCGATGGAGATGGCAGCTGTTTGTTATTTTGGGCGGCATTATCCGCCACTTCATCGGCAATCGATGTGTAGGCAGTTTGTGGAGCCATTCTCGGCAGCATCGGGATCAATCTACGACCCTCTTGTGCCCAATCATCTAGCGATTCACCTTGACCATTTATACTAAAAATGAGTTTTATAAATTGTTCAAAAAAAATTAAAACTAAAGGATATTGAAATTTTGACCATTTTTTAAAGAGCTCACTGTTATTTTAAGTTGGCAAATGACCGGTCACATTGCGCCAATGTTTTGATAAAATTTGTAACAACTAGGGCCCGTATGCTTTTGAATATAAAGCCCATTTTAGCATGTTACCTAAACTCTAGTAATAATGTATATTTTTGCAATATTTACAATATTTTTTGGTAGAGTACTTAGTTACTTAATGCCATATGAGCAGTTCCGATCGGCCTGCAAATTCTCTTCAGCAAAGATGCGGCTCTTAGGACACTATTATTTTTTCGCTCCCGCCTACTGCAGCACTACCGCTACACAAAGATTTTTAAAATATAGTAATTACTTATTCCCATGATATAATATATTGCTAAACAATCAACTAAATTGGGTATTTTAGGGATGAGCGCTTTTTGTTTAATAATGGTTTCCAGAAACGGTTAAGAAAATAATAACTTTGTTGTTATTAACAAATATTCTAAAAACCTTAAAATAATAATATAAATTTATATTTTAAAACCATAAAGGTTATCTCAATTTTTGTGCTAAGGAAAAATATGTTGATGTTTATTTTTAATATTGTAGTTAACAAATTTTTGCCAAACAATAAAAACCAAATACATAAAGATATATTTTCAATGGCAAATTGGCCAAAAATTTTGGAATTTTATTCAATTTTATATAAAATAAGACTTCAATGAAATTTTAACAATATTTGGATAATGGTTAATATTTAAACTTGGCTTTGAAATAAAGGATGTCCAATTTGTAAGTTTTTTATATTTAAATTAACTAAATGTTTTAAACTATTTAAAAAGGCTGATAAAAACTGCTTTAAACCTGTCAAGAATTCTTGATATTATTATAGTCAAGCATTGCATTGCACTTCCTTAAAAAAATATTTTACACTGTTTAAATTAAATTTGTTAAAAAACATGTTAATACTGTTTAAGCAAAACAAAAAAAATAATTATACAGTTTTTTTAATAATATCCAGTTTTTTTAACTTTTCTTAGAAAGACTATAACTATTTTAATGAAAAACTAAATTGATATAAATAAAAAAATACTGACTATAGTTAAGTCTTACTCGCAAGTTCTTAAAACTTAACATTTCTTATTTTTTTAAATTTGATTCCATTATTTTTTTATTGGTCAAAAATCTAATAGGTAACTTTTTTGTTTAAAAACCAAAATTTAAAATGGTGAGGAGAGAATATATTGTTAATTAATTAACAATAGATTCATGTACTCAATATTTTACATTTTATTTATAATAATTAATAACAGGTTTTCCTTTCACCATAAAATATTTTTCCTGTATATTATTATTTCAATTTACCTGGTATATAAATTAATAACCAAAAACACAAACTGGAAGTAAGTATACAGTATAGTACAGTATATTATATGTATATATTATATATATCATGTTAAAAAATGGTAAACATTTTAATATCCTCAAATTTGGAAATGCAGTTTAAAAGCCTTACTTAAGTGTATATAAGTTAAGGACTTACTGGTAAGCAACTGTGTTTAACTTTTCATCGCTGATGGCCCTTCTAATCTCAGCATTGTGCCTTTCTTGTGTGATGTTTAAAAGCAAACTGGATTCCTTAAGTAGTTTCTTTTTTTCTGCATTTAGAGAACCTTGAGCTCTAAGTGCGGATACCAAGTGTGAATATGCTTCAAGTTCTATAAAACTTAGGTTAAAAACAAATTGTAACAATAGAAAAACAAGTCTTACCTAAATGCCTTAAATATTGGAAAGATTCCTCTTTGGACATATCCACCAATGAGGGCCACATTATTATAGGCATTTATCAATATCCAATTGGAAATATTATAAGGAAATCATCGTAAATTATTAATGACAAACGAAAAACACAAAAGTTATCAAATCTTGGCGACTTTTTTTGTAGGTTAAGTTGTGAATACTTGGCTAATTTAACGACTGCGTGCAATTAAATAAATTTTTCAACGAATTTCAAAGGTGTTTACATTCAAGAAAACGGATTTTCCATAAAAATTATATGGAAATATTAAATGAAAACTTAGGTTTGACAGCCTGATTACTAACAACAGCGCCAACTATAAACAACAAAATTAATTATCTAACTCAGCGGCTCCCAACATTTTCTTAAAAATAATCGTTCATTTAAAATAGGATCTTAAAGTAAAAGATCCCATTAAGATTTAAATAAGAATGGCTTAATTAAAACGTAGTAATGATTTATAAAAGTATCGCGATTATTTTATTTTACTAAACGAAACTTCACTAAATTGGAATGTTCTATTTTCTTTTTAAATTACTATAATACCATATAAAACCATATACTATAGTTATAGGTATATGTATAAAACACAAGAAGATTTAATAATTTATAAATTACAGATTATTTAATGCGTTTTATTAAAAATACTATTTTTTTTAACGATGTTTCAATCAAAATGTTTGTCAAAAAGTAGTTCTTATGCATTTTTTGTTGCTTGTGAAACTGACTTATCATTTTGACATTAAATAACATTGCCTTTTAATTTTTCAACGATTATTTTTAAAAGATACAAAAATGGATTTGCTTGGTTCAATAATGAATGCCATGGATAAACCGCCAAGTTTAAGTGAGGCCGAGAAAAACCTGATAAAAAGTAAGCAAAATCACATGTTTTTTATAGGTTTAATTTAGTATTATTTATTGCAGAGAGGAAGGCAGAAATAGAAAAACGACAAAAATTGGAGAAAGAGAAACTAAAACGATTTAAAGAACGAGTTGAAGGCAAACTGGACAGCTATTTTAAAGATCATAAAAATGTAATGCTAAAATTCGATACAATGGATCAGATTTGTCGCAGTATTGTGTAAGTTGTTTTGTTATTAAATGATGACAGAAAATTATTATTGTGAACATAAGAATACAAAGAAAAATATAAATTTCAGAATAATTATTAGCCTAAAACATTCCAATAATTTGTCCACTTTTTGTAAAATATTCCATACCAAATGTTAGAAGAGGTTATTTTTGTTAAACACAACATTAGATTATAAGTTTTACCAAACTTAAATGCTTATTAATTTAAAAACATTTTTTAGTTTTTTACTGTTTTTGTCCAAACATTTTTAAGAACCAAAAGTATCAACACCTAACATTTCCCTTATACCTACCTTTTTTTCATTTTTATTGTAGAGCTGATGCATCATAGCAACAGTTGATTTATAAGAAATAGAATAATTTGCTCTAACATGAAAACCAATATTTAGTTCATCTGGTATACTAGCTATACAAATTTTCTTTAGGTCTTCCTTTCTTTTTTTGAATGATTTTTGTTTCCCATACTTTTTTTACTTGTCTTTTGTTTAATTGCTGTAGATGTCCCCACCAACTTAGTTGTCTTTTCTGTTTAAATTCTATAGTGGCTTCAATTTAAAGTTCTTCTTTTATAACTGTATTTATATTTCTGTTCATTCTTGTGACTCTTCTCTAAGAAACTTTCATTTCTTTTGCACCTATTTTGGATTCTTGTACTTGATTTAATACCCATGATTCGCAGGCAAATGTTAATATCGGTCTAAATACTGTTTTGATAACTTTTAGTCTGTTTTTTAGATTTCTTTATTCTGTATAAATTTGTTTTTATAGCCTGGTATAGGTACCCCTAAGTAGTGGACACTTTTAACTTGTTCTATTTTTCTCATTCATTTTTATGTTTAATTCTTATTTTTGGCCTTCTATTATCTTCACTTTTGTTTTGCTTATATTCATCTTCATGTTGTATTCTTGTAGGCTGTTATTCCATATATTTATATTCAAAGTGACTAGAAGTACACCGGGAGTACGGGCATTAAACGTACACCGGGTGGAAAAAAATATTTAGTTATTTTTATATTTGTCAATGGGGCGGGGGGGAGGTTGGAGCGGGGTCGGTTGTGTTGTGTTGTTGAGTTTGGGTTGGTTTGGTTAATTCATACTGACATTTCATTAATTTTGTTGTTAATTGTATTTCAATCACTTAATTAAATTTTAATCAATGTTTATACAACTTGAAAGTTAGCATAATCATTACGTAGGTATGTATACAAAATTATTATCTCAAGAGTTAACCAGCTGTTTTCCTACTGTTATACAACTAGGCCTTAGTGTACCAATTTAATCTCAACTAATAAATCTGAAATTTCACCATCAGCTGCATCCATGGTATGGAAACACGCATGCGCACAAACCTGATGTACGTTTAATGCCCGTACTCCCGGTGTACTTCTACTAGAAGTAATATATGTACAAAAATAATAATAACATAGTGATTAACAATAATAGAATTTCAAAAGTTTTTAAAATGCAAGACTAAGGCAGGGGTTTGGATGAAGTTCATTATTATTTATAGTTTTTATGGCAAAAAAAAACAAAATGATCTACAGACAAATATAAATCGCCGTGACTAGAAGTCTTCTAGTCACGGCGATTTATATTTGTCTGTAGATCATTTTGTTTTTTTTGCCATAAAAACTATAAATAATAATGAACTTCATCCAAACCCCTGCCTTAGTCTTGCATTTTAAAAACTTTTGAAATTCTATTATTGTTAATCACTATGTTATTATTATTGTTGTACATATATTACTTTAATCATGATTTGTATAGTCTCATTTATTCCTCTTTTAATATTTTGCATAGTGTTTTTCTTGGTACCCTGTCAAATGCTTTTTCCATATCTATAAATCCCAAATATATTTTCTTTTCCTGTTGTATTATTTTTTGTGTTAATTGTTTTAGTGTTAATATGTGATCTTGTATAATTCTTTCCTTTCTAAACCCACTTTGCGATTCTTCCAGTGTACTTTCATTTTGGAAATCTCATCACTCTGTTTATTTTTACTAAGTTATTTTTCCATGTTGTTTTTTTACTTTGATCTTTTATTTTTTATTTTCATTATTTTATTATTTATTTATTTATTATTGCGTTATTATTTATTTAGTTAATTTACTAGTCGCTTTTAACAGTAAGTTTATTCAAATTAGAATTCTTAACTTAAAATTTAGGAATATATTGGGAATATTTTGAATTATGGGGTTTCCAGTAAAAAACAAGTAATGCACAAATTGCTTTTATAGGTGATATGTGCAATCAGTGTTACCGAACGTTAAAATGCTGAATCGGGAGAAACCGACGTTTAACCCGTAACTACTATTGCTCATATTTAACTTAATTGCTGGTGAAAAGTAACCCCAAATGTAAAACGTCTGGATGAGAAATTTTATTATTATTTTTTTTAATCATTGCGCTTTTCTTGGTCAAAAATAATAATATTGGTGATAGTTAATACTAATAATTTTTTCTTTTATAAAAATTTTAATCATGCCAATGTTAACTAAATCTAGATGGGAGAGTACAAAGATCAGAGTGGAGGAACAAAAAATTAAATGTTGGGTCATGTCGGACCCCACGATAGTATCCAGAATTTTTTGCGTTTGCTACAATTGATGTGTTAATTTAATAGACCTCAATAAATGAATAAGATAGGACTCTATAGTCCTACGACTCTTGGCAATCGCGATGGCCAACAATAAATGATCAAATCGTGCCCAATAAAATACAGAAGCAGTTTTATTAGCCTAGGTTACCGTTGGTAACATGAAAAAACGATGTTACATTTGTGACTTTTATTTGGGAAAATATATTTTATATATATTTACATATGGAAGAATATTGATAAAAAAATAAATGTTGAAGCTTTTTCTTGTTTAGAAAACATTCCAAATTATAATGTGCGACAAAAAAAAACTAGAAGAAACGCGTCATTTTTAAGTTAATTAGTCCTCAAAATCTGTACACAAGTGAACTGGCTAAAGGACCATTGTGACTCTAATTATTGTAAATACGAAAAAAACTGTCAATCTGTCAACCGTTTTGCCACGTTGTGATTTGGTTATTTAGTATTGGTGAATTGCGTCACAGTCCCGAAAAAATTGATAATTATCACGTTATAAGTGTTTTCTTGATACTTTGCCACTGTAACACCCGAAACGAAAAATCATGTAATTGTTGTATTATTATACCTTACAAATTGATTAGTGTGATAATATTTAGTAAAAGTAACGTTATGGTGGTAATGATTTAAAATACTAACTAATATCTGAGCATGAGACTAATTTGATATGTGTTTTTCTTGATAAAAAACTGTAACACCCGAAACGTTTCGGATGTTACAACTTTTTTCATATGTCTATATAATATATAGACATATGAAAAAAGTTGTAACATATTATGTGTGTATTGCTTAAAGAATGCAATAAGTAATATTTTAAGGCTCATTCGACGGCCCACTAGCGCCGCTATCGGAAAAGCAGTCACACCTCTTTTAAAGAGGTTTGTCTGCTTTTTCGATTGTGTTGTCGAACCTACCGAAATTTCGGTTTTTCCACCGAAATGGCAACGGACCTACCAAAATACCAAATTCTAACATTTCCGTCAATAATTACCAATTCCACTGATTTTTGGCAATAACGATTTTACCCTTTTTTCCGATTTATCAATCGCACCCAAATTTGCTTAAGTTACGTTTAAGGAGAACGAATTCTTTTTATGTTTATTTGTTACTAACATAAGTTATAATAATAATAATTATTTTGTAGTACCTAGAGACTAACTTATTTTGTAGTACATAGAGACTATTAAAACAACGATTTTGTCCATATAAAGTAAAATTTTATAAAAAAAAAAATAGTAAAACCTTATTTGTGACAGTGATTATGTTGTAGATGGTTACTAAATATTATACTTTTGGAGGCCTGTCATTTTTAGAAATATTACCCTAACAAAATTCGCTAAATAAATGTAACAATGGTCAGGACAGAGGCAGGAAGGCCTGAAACACCCGAAACGCACACTTTTCGACTTATTAAATCGTTATCCTATATGCTAAACTGTACTAATTTTACAATTTAGATAAAACAACTAAAAACGTAGAGAATAAGGCACTTTAATTGATAAAATGTTATTTAAAAATATATAAAAATTTAGACTTTGGTTGAACAAATGTAACACGGTGTTACCAACACCCGAAACGATGAAATTACTTCAATAAAGTTGTTTAAAACACATGTTTAACTACACAGATGACTAATTTTTTTTAATAACTGGCACACGAGCATGTTTTTCACGCCTTTTTGCACATAATTGTTTAAATATACACAGAAAAAGTATTGAATTTCATTTAACTCAGAGAGTTGTCTACATACAGCTTATTTAACCTAAATTTTGATTTGTCTATTGCGCATAAGCAAACTGATCAAATGTTTGATGTGCATTATAAACGCTTTGCCAATGTTAGACCAATTTTTATTACAAAGTTTTCATTACAAACGCGTTGGAAAATGAATGCCATAAAATATGACACTTTTTGATCAAAATTGACGTTACTTAGTTGGAAAAAAGTTAACTTCTTTTCCAAAGCTTATTTCTCTGGGGTGGTTCAACAATACGGTGGTTTTAATGACTAATCCCTATAATAGAAATGATTTTGAAATTAAGTCCCAATTTTATTGTTTCCACCAGTTTGATTATTAGATAGGGGTTCCTGTGGGGGTTCCATAAAATAAACAGTTTACATATTACCACTTTTCTAAGATTTAAATACTTCTAGGCATGAATCTGCTGAAAGTAAAGGTTTACTTTCATATGCATTTGGAATTGATGGTGTTGACAGATATATTAGAATTTATAGGAAAGAAAATCCTCCATCGCCAGATGAAATTGCAGCTAGAAAAAGGGGGGAACCCTGGAATGAACAGATTCAACAACAATTATTTGAAAAAGTGTGTATTTTTACTGTTTTTTTTTTGTTTTTATGTATTTTATATTTTAGAGGGAAAAAGATAAGTTAATGGAAGAGGAATACTCAAAAGGCAAGAAAGAAAAATTTGTGCCTAACTCTAATTATAAGGACAAATACGCACATTTAATAGGGCAAGATGCTGCTTTAGATGCAGCTAAAAAGACTGAAACTAACAAAACTTACGGCTTTGGTAATTTTTATTATATCACAAAAAAATAAACGCAATAAATAATATTTATCATTTTTAGTTCCTAGTGAAAATAAGAAAGATAGCCGGTCCATAGAACAAACAATGGCGGATATTCGCGCCAAAAAACGACAAAAACTTGCACACGATAAAGAAGAAACTGAATAAATTTAAGCAATACTTAGTAGTACATTTTAAGTATTAATTATTTATAGATTATTATAACCGATAATAATAGTATTACACGCGTACACGTATTTTGTTTTATTAAGATTTGTGGGGGCAACATTTTTTAAATCTGAATATTTTGTTCATAACCCAATTTTTTAACAAGTTTTAGCAGAGCTACAAAGGTTTATGAATAAAACAAGTTAAGTATAAAGTAATTTTTTATTAATAAAGTAACTTAATATTAACATGGCTTGTGTTAATTATAATTTATAACGGACTTACGACAGCCAGCGCTTGTACTTAATAATAAAACTAAGACAAATATTTCGTTTTTGCGCGTGTTAAAAGAGTACAACTGCCATATTTTGTTTGTTGCCAGCATACAATCTAACAAAATTTGATATGCCTAAATTATTAAAATTGAATATATTAAGAGTTTTGATTTAATAAAAGTAAAGCCAAGATAAAATCACTGGACCTAAGCCACAATAATAAATTATTAATTTCTTAATAACCAAGTATTACAATAGAACCTATACATATTAACATAACAAATTTATCTTTTTTTACACATTTTGACTGAACATACGTTTAATAATAATAATAATAATATAGTAATTTAAATCACTTTGAGAAAACAAAATATACATAAGTCTTGCTTACATCAGAGCCGAAATGTCCCAGATTTTTATTAGGCGATCCTGACCCACCGTAATAATTTTCTTCGACGTTTCGTCCAAATCCATTGCCACCACCGGGTGCTTTGCGTCGTGGAAAGTCGCTAAAGATGGTCTCCTAGACAAAAAATTAAAAGTTGAAAAAATGCCAACATCAATTAAATACACAAGAAAACTTAGCAACATTGCTATATCATAGTAAAATAGGTAACTTATCAGAAATTAAACGATTTTAAAGGCAAAAAGGCGCATTAACACCAAGCAAAAGGAGAGTTATTTAAGTATAAAATTATGTAAATCGTAATATTTGTCTGATCTGTAGTTTTAACGTTATAAGATTTTTAAAATTTAAATTACACTGCATATTTTTTCAAAATACCCAAATAACAATATCCAGTAAGTTTAATCTGGGATGCAAGGTTTATACCTACGTTGATTTAACAGGAGATTTAAAAAGGCAGAACAGTTTTTTGGGCGGGGTAAAGTACCTCATTACAGCACCAAAAACGGTGTTACAATGTAGTCATTATGAACGCAAAATAGATAAAACTATTATTTAGGAGAAAAAATCACTTGTTTATGATAGTCAATGTAGACGTTTATAATTTTAAAATAAAAATGTAAAAAGATATGCGTTTTGGCCAAAGAAATCTTACAGAAATTAAATCGCCAGTTAATTCTAATTTAAAAAAAATATATTCGTGAAATAGTCTTGCCAAATACCACTCGTGATAAAATTTTTTCCTGAAAATTTTTTTGATTTTGGTAGGTACTCAAGATTTTTCCTTGTAAATTTCGCTCGTGGCATTAATTTAAAATTAATGCCACTTGCAAAATTTACAAGAAAAAAACATTCGTATAGAAATCAAAAATTTTATCGGTAAAATTTTACCACTAGTGGTATACCATAAAACTACTATTTAGGTAAAAAAACACTCATTTATACGGGTTGCATGGCAACCAATTGGTTGCTATGCGAAAAATAACTGTCAATTTTGACGTTTCTAATTTTAAAATAAAAATGTCAAAAAATATGCGTTTTGGACAAAAAAATCATACAGAAATTGAATCGGCAGTTAATTCTAATTAAAAAAAAATATTCGTGAAATACCACTCGTGATAAAATTTTTCCTGAAAAAATTTTTGTTTTTTATTTACTCAAGATTTTTCCTTGGAAATTTCCAAGAAAAAAACATTCGTATAAAAATCAAAAATTTAGTGGTATTATATACGAAAATTTAGGAAATTCAAAATGTTTTTTTGCTAATTTGTTTTATTGAGTATAATTGAGGAGCATTCGTGCAAAACCGGCTAAATCCATTTTATTCAGTTTTTGGTTTTTTTTTCTGATTTCGCATCTTTGGGTTCATTTCTATCGACAACCAAGAGAATTCTGTTTAAATCCGACTATATCCATGTTAAAATCACATTTAAAAGGAGCAAAACCGGCCAAATCCACGATTTTATAGCAAACCTGGCTATATCCAATAAATAATAATAATGATGAGCATGTGGCTTGGATATGTCGATACTACTACTAAAATTTGTTCTGTTTTTTCATGTTTGCACTAAATTTATTTTGTTAATATTTTTGAATAATAAAGGTTTTTTTTCACATTTTATTCGGTATTTGAGCAAAACCGGCTATATACAAAACATTTTTTTAAATTTTGGCCTTAATATAAAGTTTTTAAAAACGAAAGTATGTCTTATAAATCAAGTACCACAAAGCCCACAAAACTCAAGTTTGCTTTTTCTTTTATCTGTAAAGGCCAGGAAACCAAGAGTTTTTGCCATTTTCCCAACATTTTATTAAAGTGGATATAGCCGGTTTTGCACGGATGCTCCTCAATTAGGTATTATATTAATTGAAATTTAAAGCATAGGATGTTGGCACAAGAGGTAAAATATATTATTTTACAAATTATAATATACCAGTATACCGTGTGTCTCCAGATCGGATTTCCGAAAGGAAAAACTTTTTTAGGCCTGATACAGCTAAACCGAGCACGGATTTGGAATCTACAACCAAAAATTATGTTTACGTGTCCCATCATTTAGCTGTGATATTTCAAAAGTTGAAAATTTACCTACAGTGTTATTATTATTATTTATTCAAACAAAAAATATTTAAATGCAGAAAAAAACAACAAAAAATATTGTAGTTGTGCAACATTTCTACTTTAAAAGCTTGAACAAAATTAATGTAAAGATTATAATTTTTAATGTGACAGTCAGGGCAAAAATTCCCGAGGCTCATGGAATGCCCTTTTTAGTTTTTTCAATTAATTTTAATCCTTTAATGCGATATAACAATTATTGTAATCTCGGAAACGGTTTATTTTATCGAAGTTTACACCTTTTAAATGGTAGCTTAACTTAGTAATATTATAATATAAAATATTAATCAAAAATATTTTATACCATTTTAAATTAATTTATTACAATTATTTAAAACATTCAAACATTGTTATATTTATAATTGAATCACTGCAACAATGCAGGGTAGTAGTAGCTGCAACAATGTTGTAACCGCCAATATAAAAAATTTAATTATTGACTTTCTCTTTTTATCTGTATTGCGCATTTTGTTTTTGTAAACTTTTAAAATTTTACTAATAATTAATAAATGTATTGCATCCAAATATGGGGCAAAACACCTCAAGTGTTCCCACCTAAAAATGATGTTTTCTCCGAATTTCACAAAACTTTGCCAAATCATTGTCCTATTGGACTACCTTAATTTTCCAAATGGGGGGCAAAAAGGATTAGCGGGTTGCAGAGATACAGGGGCCTAAAAATTTATTTTTTTTCTCGTGCGCTTAAAATACGTCGAAATATGCATGTATATAATAACTTTTTTTTGAATTGATAATCAACATTGGTTATAAAAAAACGATTTTAAAAATATATTTGTTTTTTTCTCGAAATGCGACCCATTGGATTTTTTAAAAATTAATATCAAAAGAAAGCTTTTTCAATTCCCTAAATTTTGATGTAATATGAAGATGGAATCCCAAGAATAAGTCGAAAAAAATAAGGGTTGAAGCGCGTAGGGACCGTGCGGCGAGCAGCTTCTATAGTATACCTATTGCAGCGGTGCTCGGTCTACTACTTAGTTGATTAATTGGAGAGGGTCAATACAACTTTTAAAATTATTTTTATATAGAAATAAATTTATTTTTCAATGGGTTTAAGTCAAAACAGCACAAGCGCCAAATTATTTTTTTTTAGAAGAAGGTCGATAGAGAATTTAATTCTCTATCGACCTGCAGGTACATGTAGGTACTTAAACAAATTTAAAATTTTTGGCGCTTGTGTCGTTTTGCCTTAAACTCATCGATTTTATTGCAATAGTTCAAATTAATAGCAATTAAAACCCATGTTTTGGTTTTTGTAGTCGAAAAAGAAAAATGTAGAAAGTAATAAGTTGCTCTTACTCTGAATAAATTACACGTGCGCGTAAATGTAAATAGGTTCTACTATTTAATGCAATTGCAAGTGTCTCACAATAATAATACACATTTTTCATGTAAACTTTTTATTGAACATTTTACCTATTTTTGGCGGTAAAGGCCTCTGTGATGGCATTGGTGGGAATTTAAAAAGACTGGCTGCCCGCGCAAGTTTGCAGACAAAATCAAAAAATCCAATTCTAGATGCAAAAGATTTGTATGAATAGGCTCAAAAAAGTTTGAAAGAAACAAAAGTATTTTTAATTCTGAAAAATATCATATGAAAACAGCAGAAATTCTTAAAAAGCGATTTGATTCTGCAAAATCAATTCCTGGGACACAGAAATTCATAATTAGATATTTTATCGCCGATCGGATGTGTGTTTTGTGTGCTCCGATAAATGCGGAAAATAATGTTTTTAAATTGTGTTTTAAATTGTGATTTAATTTTAAAACCTTTACCAGTTTGTAAAAAGTGAATAGTCATTAACTATTAGTTTATTTTTGTTTATGTGATGTAAAAATGGATTTTATTTAAATAAAACAAACTCTAATATTGCATTTGCACACATTTCAATGGACAAAAAGTGTAAAAGAAAAAACTCCAAGCAAACAAAAAACTTTATATTAAAATAAAAATAAAATTATCCCCGTCAGGGCTTTGAACTCGGTTCGCTGCGGACTGTGCTTGCCCCGGTTGCCGACTTGCCCACTGAGCTATTGCTGCTATGTCTGAGTCCGAGGTAATAACTAAACAATGCGGAAGGTGCAAGACGGTTCCTAAGGATCATCTTAAATGTATTATTTGCGAAGCAGTCATGCACTTGAGTTGTGCTAAACTTAGCAAAAAAGTAAAAATAATCAACGAGAAAGATAAGAATTGCTGTGAGGCTACTAAGGAATGTTCACAAGGCAATGAACCAACCTTATTATCTGAAGACCCTATGGTAGTTGAAATATACTACTTGAAGGAGCTATTGAAACATAAAGATGAGATAATTAGTTGTCAAAAATTAACAATAGATTCGCTGAAACAGCAAATTAATATTACTAATAATAATAAAAATATAAATAATCCAAACATAAATAATACAAAAGCTACTGAAGGCCAAAATACAAATAAAAATATTCAGAAAAATTCATCTAAAAATAAAAGTGTTGACAATAAAATCGCTACTACCGAAATTCAAGTAACAAAAGCAGTAAAGAAACCAATTGAGTTGGGAGCGGCTTCTCTTGCTATACTGGAAGCAAAAAGCGAAGCCGTTTGCGAACAAATAATAAATTTAACTAGGGATGATATTAACAAACCACCATTAAAGGCAAATAATGGAGATTGGACAACTGTTGTCAACAAAAATAAGAAGAAGTCCAAAACAAGTGTTGTGGGCAATATGACTAATTTAAGCAAGTGCACCATTAAAGTTGTGCCGAAAAAATCATTTGTCTACGTCACAAGATTGGACCCTACTACGAAATGCGACAATATAGTCGACTACCTTAAAGCCACCTTTCCCGAAATCAAATGTGAATCTTTAACATCAAAGTTTCCCACTTTTTACTCTTCTTTTTAGTTGACTGTGGACCTTGATAACTTTGAGAAAGTTATGAATCCAGACCTTTGGCCTCAAGGCACATACTTAGATAAATTCTACCATCCGAG